AAGTGCTGGTCTCATTTGAGACATAATTGGATTCGCAGCAAATACCTTCAAAAAAGCACAGTGAGACAACCAGTGCTACCAGGACATTTGGCAACTTGAACAAATCAGAGTTAGGCAAAGGTAATTGTAAAATTTTATTTAATTTATTAACATTTAAAAGTTGTATTTTTTCCTACTCTGCTGAAGCACTCTAGCTATAGTATAAGTCAGCATTTCTCTCTCCTCACCCCCCAATCCCTCAACACTTCTTTTAGGAGATCTGTTCAAAAAAAAGACGCAGGTAACTTCCCCTCAAAGACCTGCTGGGCTTTGCAGGGCAAGAGCTTCAAAAAGGGCCTAAACCCAGCAAAATTGTATTAGTCCTCTGTGAAGAGAGGCTGAATGGTGTACTTGCACCCATGTACAAAATGGGAAGGGAACAAGCATTTTGGTTAGTTTGGCTCTTCTTAGAAAGACTTTCTTCCAAAGAATTTTAAAAAAAAATCAGAGCAGTTTTCTTCATCTGCAAAGCCAGGGCAAAACCAGTCAAAGCAGCAGCTACGTTGCCCATTGCCTTTGAGGAGATATCAAATGACAGAATTGCTTTAGCCTGGTGTGTAACTTCCATTCTGTGCTCATTTAAAGCACTGCCATGCTATGGGGTAGTTCAGAGAAGACGACTGCTTCATAGGACAAGTTTTATTTTCAGCTGAAGACAGCGGCAGATGGTTCCCTCAGCGCTGCCGGCGGGCTGAAGATCTGGTGATGGGAGTTGTTTTGGTGGGGGTTTCTTCCTCTCTCAATTCTGCTGATAGCTCTAAAGAGAGGAAAATGTGTTAATAACCAGCACTGCACTGACTTGAACAGAGAAAGCTATGGGTAACCCAGGCAGTGCTCTGAAGCCCTACACACCTCCTGCCCATCACCAAAGGAACACCTCCCCCTGGGGCCAAATCTATGGTCTGTCACTGCTTCTCCACTGTCACTTTTTGAGCGTACATGCAAATGCCCTACCGTCCTCAGAGCTGCTCTCATCACTGGAGAAGGTGATAACAGCTTTTTTGGGTCGAGGGTGCTTTTGGGCACGCTTATGGTTTCGAACGGCACGAGGCTGGGGTGTGACAAAATCTTCATCCTTGCTGGCTGCGCAGGGCTGGCGGCGTGAACCTGTCAAGCAAATAATAATTAAAACTAACTAAATAAAAGGTAGCAGCCGTTCTGTCTGTAAGGGTGAGGAAAAGTCCCTAGGTGTCTCTGCTGGACTGCAAGACCGGGGAAAGGCTGCAGTCTCACAAGAGGAACGTACTTGCTGCTGTTGGTTTCTGCTTGGCTGGCATTGGGGTTGCACTGCCTTCCTGGCACGTCTCTGCTGAATCCAGCCCTTGGTTATGGGAAGCAGCCAGCTTCTGCTCCAGGTCTTCAGCCAGAACCTGGTGGAGATGTAACATAGTCGGAAGAAAAAAGAAAACAAAAAAGAGAAGGAGGGGGGAGAGGAGTATTACATCCATAGCTGAATTGTCATCAGGTTCTCTGATTAATTTTTGAGACTAAGGAGTAGCCTGCTCAATAAAGAGAACTGCAAAGCTTTCTCAATCATTGTGTTAAAAAGCAATTGCTTTCCTGGCCTGGACACGGGTCCCCTGTCCTTACTTTAATCTCTGGTTTGCCGCCGGCTCTGCGGAATCGAGACAGCACAGTTTGGAAGCAGCTGTGGACGGCTGGGTCTTGAAGCTTGTCTGCAAAGCAGTCAAAGTTGTCCTGCAGCTTCTGAAGGCCACGCTCCGAGATGGGAAGCAGCGTAAGGCAGTAGGACAGGTCCCGATATTGACGCTCGGTTCTGTAAAGACAAAGATTGCCCTTAGCTTTTATGAGAAGGGGCGCGTAAGGATGGGCACATCATACCTTGAGGTACAGCACGTGGGGATGAAGTGTTTCCTGTGGGTGCTTCTGCCCCGCAGAACATGAGATTCAGGTGGTTCTGCTACGGGTCAGGTCAGAGTGCTGTGCTGTGCCACACCATACCAACCACTTCACAGCCACTGCTGTGTGCTCCAAAGACAGCAACTGAGTGTCGGTTGCACGAAGGCTCTGCTATTAAAGAACATGGTCACTTGTTTAAAAAGCCTCAGAAGTTATTGCTGGCTACAAGGAAAAAATACACTCAGTGACGTGAGGGCTTCTCTTGAAGGGCCTTATTTTGGCTGAATAATACAAAACCCTGGTTGCTCATTTTTGCACGTCTGAGATAGTCTCCAGCAGAAGCTGTTCTTCTTCTCTTTCCTGGCCAGTTACTTAAAAACAGCCTTTTTCATCAAGACAAAGTGAAGAAATAGCAACTGCTGTTTCAAATGAGGACTGCATTCAAATTCCAGCAAAAGAAGTCATTTTAAAAAAGAAAAAAAAGCAGCAAACTAAACCTTTAATATAGGTCACTGTGGCAGAATGGGAGGAAAAAAAAACCAACAAAAAGCACAGCTGGGCCGAAGCTCCCATTATTAATAAATACAAATCAGAGGGCCAGAAGTCTGTCTCATATGTACCCGCAGAATGCAGTGTCCAAACGCAGAAGGGTGGAGAACAAAGCTGCAGCATCCAGATGCTTGCACATTTGAAGTCTGAATGATACTTGGCGCATTGCTATGTTTAGAACTCCAGAAAGGCTGAGGAGGGTGACAGTGGCTGCAAAATGTTTTGTGATGAGCTCCTGTTTTACCCTGGAGTAAGTCTCACTCTAGCATTACCACTGGTGTGCATTAAACTGATCACCTCTGTGGTACAGAAGTATTACGGCATTTCAGTAAAGGCTAGACATGGCTTATGCACAGGTGGCTCTTTACAAAGAGCTCACCAGTGCTCCTGAGAGGCAATTTTGGAGAGAGGAGCCACTCTCCGCTCCAGCTCAGGAAACAAAACACAAATATTTCTGGGGAATATGCAACTCCCTGAGGCAGCTAAGCAGGTTGCATGCCCAAGCACTGTGTACCAATGGCCAAGATAAGCAGACACAGCTTAAACCTCAAGGGCAAAGCCACAATTATGGAGAAGGAAAACCACAGGAATGGAGGATGCAGGGTGTACCAAATCCAGTGGAAGGTAAAATGAAGATATCACTGAAAGCACATGACAGAGACAGAAAAATTTCTACTAGCTTCTTGAGGTGGGGGGAAAAAATAGCATAAATCTCTGTCAGTAAAGTAGGAAAGGAGCAACAACAACAAAAAGTGCCCCAAAACCCAGGAAGTAAAACAATATCCCAGATTCATGGGACGGGGCCTGCACTACACATGCTGTAATCAGCACCACAAGCAAGGCGTTCACATCTTGCAGACAGAGCAGAGGAAAAGCCATAAGTGTACAGCAGCACAAGTCCTCGAGTAACGAAACTGAGTAGTCCAAGGCACAGAGCCAGTACTGCGCAGCCCACGCACACAGGGCTGGGCTGCTACTGACTCCATAGTTGAGATCCCCCCAGGCAGGGCTGCTGGGGAGGGCCCAATTTCTCAGTGGCACACACTGATTTATTAGCCGAGATGCAAGGGAATAGCTTGTGGAAAAGGACCACAAAGGTGCATAAAACCCACACGTGGGATGTGTCCTTGCTCAGCTGAAATGCAGATCTAAATTGCTGCAAAACATTTTCACTGAGAAAGGAGGGAAGGGAGAGGGGCCAATCACGGTGTAGTAAGACCAGAAGCCTTAATTAATACATATTTATCAATGCATTTTTAGGAGGAAGAATGAAAAAAAAAAAAAGGTGGGAACCTAATCCAGGTTATCTCAGCATTTGCCACGTGATAAATAGGAAGGGAACCTGTTACAACCACTGTATACAAGCTAGTTTCTTCTAACGATTCCTAAGAAGCAGACTTGCTTGTCAGGAAAATTAGGATTACAGCCCACCTGGCAGTCCGGAATCGCTGACAAAGTTTCTCCACCAAGCTCTCTGTCTGTTTGTCTTTTGTAATATAGGAGAAGAGATGTCTGCAAAGGAAAGAAATGGCAAAATTGAGAGCCCAGAGAGGAAAGATCATTTCTGCTTGTACTGAGATGCTTGCAGCTGTCCTGTCCAGTGATCAGCTGGGTGGTCCTCCAAAGGAAGACAAGAGAGCTCTGCAGGCAGGTTTGGTTCAGGAGAAGCTATAAGCATAAATATATTTAAAATAGTAACCACAGTCCCTGCTGGGGGACAGCTGCTATAGCTTAATGTACAATTAAAACTGCATGTTTGAATAATAGCATCTGCCTAGGATAGAGCTAAGAAATCCAGCTAAAGCAAAGACCCTTGCAGGTCTGGAGTGAGAAGTGCTAGTGTCTGTGAGAGGTCTGGGTAGGAGGGACACTGAAAAGGCTGCAGTGTTGACTTGCGAGCAGCTCCTTCCATCCAACTTTAAGAGCATGCAGCACCTCGAGAGAATCTCCTCACTTGCCAAGCTGCACTGGCAGATGCGTACATCTGACAAGGAGATATTGAGGGGAGCTGGGTGGCATGCACTATTTTATTTTTTCCTCCTAAAAATGTTCCCATAAACCACTGAATAACTTCTACTTATTAAGAAGGTCCTGCTGGCCTCCCTTTTCTGTTGTATCAACATTTCTGTAAACTTAGGCTCAGTGAAGTTGCCAGCGGCCTTGATACAACTGCTCTAAGCACACCCTTGTTCAGTCTTTGTTATGTCTACAACCACCACACCAAGTTGGTTTTTAAAGATATGGAACAGAGACCATATCCTCAATAGTCCTCCCTTTGCATTTGTTCCAACATCAATTCATCTTTCTTTAACTTGAGTGACCAGAACCGTGGCAGCACTCCACACAAGGTCTCACCAGTACCACCAACTTCCCTATACATAAACCAGAAATAACCGGGCTGTTAAAATAGCAAGTGGAGTGCATCTCTAACTTTAGCCATACCTTTACAGCAGATATTAACCATTTCTAAACATTCAACCTTACACTTTGTTCTGCTAGTTTTCACCTGTTATTACTGTAGCCCTCTGTATGAATTAGTCCTTTAACAGTAATGCTCCCCCCACTACCCCTATCTGTTCTACACTTCTAAATTCTCCAGTTTGGCAAGTATCCCTGGAGCATAAGTCACTGCTTCCTTCCTAGCCCTTGCTTTTGTCCACCGTATTTTCTGAGTTAAACCGGATCCTCTCCACAATGTAAGCATGTAATATGGTGCTACATGGGGAAATAATTCAGTTTCAACTACTATTCCCTTTTCCCCATTTAAAGGGTATAGTGTGGTGTGCTAAGTGATGATCAGGTCTTCTTTAAAATTAATTAGCTTTAGACTTATTTGATAGCTGCCTACTTTGTTAAGTCAATACTGCCTTTTCTCTCATTTGCCACACACCTCCCTGTATGTTGCTGGAAGTCAGAAAAGTCCATCTATAGCTGTCTTAACCACGCTAATCCCACTTTAATGCAAGCGCTATGGTTATTATTCTCTAGGTCTGTGGCAACACCTCCAGTTTGATATTTATTAAAAATTGTACTGAAAATGCCAGGATTACATCCCATTCTTTTTATGCATGCCATCTTCATACTTCTCTGGGATGATGTGCTTCCCTGTCAGACACTAAATTCCCCTTCTACGTGTGCTGTATTTCCCATTATTTCCCATTACCCTTCTTACTGAAAGCTGAAGCAAAACATCCATGTATTTTTGCAGCCATAAATTATTTTCAGTCTCAATTTCAGCCTCACCAATAGACCTCTTCTGTACCCTGCAAGTCCTACCTGTCCAAAATTCCATCTCTCTTCCTAAATGCGCTGGAGTCTCACGGACAGAAGGATTCTAGTTGAAAAAACCACTTGAGATTTTACTGTTCTTCTCTTCAGCAATACTTTTGTTTTGTCCAACACTCCCCTCTGCAATCCACTGGGAATCAGGCAACTCCGAAAAACCCTCATGTGGTTAAGTTTGAGATACGAGAAGAAAATTTCTGAAATTTACCACTTCAGATATTTTTTGTGCTGTCTATGAGCAACTGATGTCCTCAGATGGAAATATTTCAACATGTCTCTAAACTATGGAGTAAGGATTTCTTGAAAACAAAACCAACCAACCCATCCCAATCTGTTCCTTTAACTCCAGCTTTTCTAAAGTCCAGTAGGCCACCAAAATGACAAAAGTGACAGAATCTTTAAAATCTGTTGTGTTCTCTTAGCGTTGCGTATACAGGTTCCCATACATAAAGCTAACAGCTTTCCTTTTCTAGGAGGAAAGTCATTTTGAATGAGCTGGTGGAAACTCTTTTTGGAGTCTCTCCTCACCCCAAATATGTGGATTTAGAATCTATTCCCCTCAGCATAACTCCATTTCAGACACAGACTGAAAAAGCCAGATGAATGAAGAACAACTGAAAAAGCATTTTGAATACATCGCTGTAGTTTCTCTTCCTTGGATCTTGTATCCCCTTTGCATAAATACAGTCCCAGCCAAAAGAGATTTCTTTAACTTCAGAATACCTCATAATAGTGTGGAAGGATTCCTCTTCTACGCCACAGTTAGGATCCGAGAGACGACTGATGATGTCTGGAAGCAGGTTATAGATGGCATTACCCTGTGCAGAATACAAGGCTTTATATGAGGTATGGAATTGTGAAGGACAGCTCGAGTCAAGCCAAACAAGCTGCCCACTTGAAATAACTTCCTTTCTCCCCACCCCAAATCTACTGACTGAAAACATCAGCTTTTTGAAACGAGCTGTGGACAGCCAGCCAAATGTATCCAGGACTACTTGGCTGAAGCTAAGGAAGAAAGATATGGAACAGAAGAACCAGCCAGCCAACAGGCTAACACCAACTGCAACCCTTGGTTTGCAACAGCCCTGTTCTTTGGCAGACTTGGATGCAATTTCTTTGCTTTCCAACCTTGTCACAACCCAACAAAAAGCTTCCTGAAAATGGAAACTTACACAGCAGTTCAGCTCAAGGAACTGCCTCCTATCTTGGCTGAAAAGGTCCAGTTCAGATTCCCTTTTCCACTGCTTTTTCATGGTTTTGTCATAGACACCGCAGAGGTAGGAAGTCAATGCAGTCAGGTGGCTGGCTCTGCTTTTAACAGAGCAAGCCAAGACAGAGAAGACCCAGCATCACTGCAGCTTCTCAGCAGTAAATCTCAAACTCTGAAGGGGCCTGCAGCAGCCTTCATGTTGAATGAACAGTGTGCAGGGGTAACACTTCAGTTTAAGTGCCTCAATATCACACAGCCAAGGACAACTTTGAAAGGTTTCAGAGATGATGTGAGCCATAAGGTTGGGGAGCTCTGTTGTAAGGCCTAAACTGCAGAAAACTGTTCCCAACCCTGTGCTAGGCATACACAAGAAAGCAAAGGGACAAGGAATTGGTTTGGACCCTGTCTTCCCATGTGAATGGATAAGGTCAAATTCAGCAACATCAGTGTTAAAACAAAACTCATGTTGCAAAATTTCCTTTGTCTACCCTCATTTAGGCAACATAGAGGGACAGACAGCTGCTCTGCATCACTGACACCTTCTCCAGAACTCAACTCTCGTGCCATTGACCCAATCTCCACCAGCCGTTCCCCACTCTTGCGAACTAAGGTCCCTGAGCATCCACTTGCCTTGCTGGAGAGTTCACGAAAAAAGTTCTGAGACAATCCCGCGATTTCTTCCTCTGGGTCTATAAGCAGAGTTGCCATTTCGCTCACTTGGCCTTTCACCTTGACCATGTCTTTGAGGATGAGGTGAGTCAGCACCAGTCCAGCCGTCTGCCTCACGCTTGGGCAGGGGTCCCGCAACCTAACAGAAGCGTACAGTCACCACAGAAAGCAGCTGAGCTGGAATATCTACATTACTGATACCCATGACAACCTACTCCACAGCCCAGGTCTGTTGTCTCCCTGCACTGACACATTCAAATTTGGTTCCCTGGGTCATTCTCACCTTCTGGAAGTCCAGTGTCACCATTCCACAGAGCTCTCATCACCTGACTTCTCCCAGTAGCATTACCTGGCATAGAGATGTGATGCCCAAGGCTCCACCTGGTTGGGGAAACGGATGGCCAGATCTCCTGCTGCAATAACCAGGTTGGATCTCACACCAGGCAGAGTGGACTTCTCCATCATAGTGAACAGCAGGCGCAGATGGGAGTCACAGAACTCGGAGCTGGCAAGATAAGATACATAAAAGAAGGCATAGATACCAAAATCTCATCTCTTAGAGAAACACACATAAATAATCTATGACCACTCTTTTGTGTTTGTTCTCTCCACTGGGAAAGGTGTTGCAACGTTTCCTTGTGCTTTAGTACTAGGAAGGGTGGGAAGAGAACACTGGGCATTACCTGATCATGCAGAGTTTGCCAAGAGCCAGGGCTGCAGCAGCCGAGAGCGCCGGATCACTGTAGAGCCCAGGGCTGTTGCAGATCTTGAGCACCAGGGGAACAAAGGCTGAGAACAGGTGCTTCCCTAGAAAGTGGGGATAAAGAGAGCAACTATGAGAGCACTGTTTGTGCATCCCTCTTGAAGATCAGTTACTCCATTTATCCCAGAACTCCTGCAAACTAGACAAGCTGCTTGACTCACCATTGAAAGACCACCTCCAGAGAGGCAAAGAAACAGGCAGCCTACATAGAAACTGACACTGCACAAAAAAAAAAAAAGAGTGTTTCCTTCTGAAGGAAGCAGCCTTCCTCGTTCTGGATCTTATTGCCCACCATACCTGTTTTTTTCACACAGGCAAATGGAGCCAGTGCTCCTTGGTGGCAGTCACGCTTACCATCGAGAAGTTCTGTCTCACAAATACTGCGGATGAGCTCAGCCTCCGTGTCCTCAGCTGAGGCTCCCACGAGGCCCAGCTCCTCCTCCAGAGTGGTCTCGTTTCCTGTGCTCTGTGCAGAAAGAGAAACTGTAAAAAAGATGACGGGCAACAATAACCCCTTCTTTCATGAAGTACTCTTCTCTCAGGCAAGAGGTGCATGCATGTTACCAGCAGCATGAGCAGAGTTGAGAACAGACTGATGTAGAGTTTTATAATCCACTTTTCCCCGAGAACTGAACGAAGCGGTGAAGGGTAGTCGAGGACTTGTCAGTCCACATGCCACAGAACGCCAGTGAAAAGAAAGCCTAAGCTACTGAAGCTACTAAGTTGAGACAGACATAGGACACATCTGGCATCAATGCCCGAGTCTGGCACAAATTAAGGAAGGTGCAAATCCTAAAAGCAAGAAGTTCAAAGCAGTATTTGAATTGCTGGTCTTGTGAGCAAGATCAGGGGAAAGTTAATAGCAAGGCAAAAGCAACACAAGTGAAGAAAAGAAACACGAGTGTTGCACAGGGACCAAATCTACAACCAACTGCTGCTTCTTGAAAAATCTCAGAGTAACCTCCTTCTGTGTGGGAAATGGTAGTGACACTGATATGCAGGGGGGAGAAGGAAATAAACTACAAATTTCTCTGGACATACCAGTCTAAGCATCTAATAGACACTGGATACCTAAGGACACACAAGATGTTTCTCTATTCTTACCCAAGAAAGTCAGCCTCACTACACTCTGGAAATGTTCTGAGGTAGACCTAACCAAACAGGACATTTCTATCACACAGATCCTATTTAGAAGGCTACTATTGAACTTTCATAATTACTTCCTATGGACCAAGGTTCCAGAAGCCCTTTTCCAAAACTCAGGGTGCAAATGGGTATTTGTCACCACTAGCAGCAATTGCAGAAGACTGCACTGGTGATGAGTGGAAAGGAAATGTTTGCCTGAAGCAGGAAGATAAGCATGGCCAGGACATCACCCTTCATTCCCTCCACTCTGCCTGTTCAAAACCAAAGAAGAGTGCGAGAGTTTTACTGAACTGGGTCATTCAAGGACCTCAGCTCTCCCTGTCAATCCTGACCAACTCATGTCCATTTCTGTTCCCAAAGTGTGCGATACCCCAGACCTCAAGCATCCTCAGGAGTACATTCTCTAGAAGTTTGCTGTGGCAGTAGCAGGGACACCAGAAGAGCTGCCCATAGGAAAAAACCCTTCAGTTCTTACCTGGCGTGTCTGCTGCTTCATGCTGCTGTCAGAATGCTTGTTGTCCTTCTTCTCTCTGAGGACCCGGCGCCTGCGTAGCTCTGCAATAACTGACACTTCCAAATATGCTACCTGCTGCATTGCCACCTGTCCCACAAGGGACACCAGGTGCATCAGCAGGAGCGTGGGGAGACTGCTAGCACCATCAGAGACTCTGCTGGGAGAAACCCCTGGATCTGGTGGAGAAAAATTACTGCAGTTCAGTGTTGATATAGATTTCTTTCCCCATCAGTTACTGCCAAACCTCACTGTATAACCCATCTCTGCGCTCCACAGAATCCTTCAAAGCACTAGCACCCTTCCACACCAACACCTCCACTAGCCTCTTAGCTCTGTTCTCCTCCTGCAGTTACTCTAGGCCACCCAATTGCAGCACTAGAAATCATAGTTACAGATTTCCTTCACCAACCTCTTTCCTCACTGGCTTTTTGCCCATCAGCCTCCTGTAGCTTCTCCAGTGCTTGCTGACTGCACACCTGGAGAATGTGAGCACATATCTCCTCTGGGCCTTCTGCTAGCTGGTAGATGAGCATCACTGCTGCCTCCATGAAGGGGATCCAGTGACTGCTTGGCTGGGCAAAGCCTGATGAGAAGAGGGAGCCATGTACCGCACATGCCAGTGATGACACAGGCTGTCTCGCAGCCCAACTCCATCTCCTCCGAACCTTCTGCTGACTTGAGCTCACCTTTACTCACAGCCTCACTCAGGGACCCAAAGAGCACGTGGTTCTGCGGCAGTCGAAAAGGTGCACTGCTCTTGCTCAGTGCTGGCTGCAGAAGAGAACAGACAGGTCACTCTTACCAACCAAGAGATCATCCCATGCCCATCCTGGTACTTAATCTTGCTATGTGCACGATGCGCATCAAACCCGTGGCAGGGACATCTCACAGCAATGACATTACTGTCACTTTTGAGGGCATGGTGGCAGCACTGGGTGGTTTTAAAGCTTGGCCAAATGATGATCCCAGGCCAACATAGACAGTTCCACTACTTCTCCTTAAATCAAAATAACTCTTGAAATATCAAAATTACTCTCTTAAAATCTGATATTATTTACTCATTCTCCACAATGAATTAAGAGGAAAGCCTTTAGAGCATCTTCAGAGTTATCAACAGTAAGTCAACTAGATGCCCTTGCCTAGGGGTACTCCAGAACCATGAGGTTTTGGGTTTCGTTCAAAACCAAAATATCATCAGTAGAAATAACAGAGGATAGCTCTGGATCCAACACCACCTCACACACAGGCTTGTTGGATATACTCTGTATGAGTCCCACCACATTTTAGGTTAGAAATAACATGATCCAGAAAACTACTAAACCAAGTGTGACAATGCCAACAATAGGCCAACAAGGCAGATATCATGGTGGGAGT